AAGATTTTGTTATAACTTATGACACGGAGGCAAATATTATATTGTTTTCACATGAAATTCTTTGTTTTGTTATACCGATTAAATTCAAACACAATCACCTTAATACGACTTTTAATAAAAAAAATATTTAAGAAATTTATGGTGTCGTATAACTTTGAAACACACCTTATATAAGACTCCTGCATGAGTGTACTTGAAAGTCATTTTTATACCCTTGCAGAGGGTATTATGATTTCAGTCAGAAGTTTGCAACGCAGTGAAGGAGACTTTTCCGACCCCATAAAGTAAATATATTCTTGATCAGCATCACTAGACGAGTCGATCTAGCCATGTCCGTCTTTCTTTCCGTTTCTACGCAAACTAGTCTATCAGTTTTAAAGCTATCGGCTTGAAACTTTACCAAAAGTCTTCTTTCTATTGCAGGACGTATATAAGTCGGAACCGACCGGATCGGACAACTATATCTTATAGCTCCCATAGGAAGGAAACGTTAAAAAAATTCTAGCTTCGGTGTTTTTTGAAATAAAACCTTCTACTCTCGGAAATATTATTTTTTAAATATTTCCGAATTTCGAATAAAATATTTATCGGAAAATTAATGGGAAAGTAATAGGAAATAAATTTTAGCTTTTTTGGTTTTTATTCTATTCTCTTCTACTGTAGGTCATGACTCTTTTTAAATATTTCCGAATTTTAATTTTATCAAAATCGGACGACTATATCATATAGCTGCCATAGGAACGATCGCAAAATTAATGGGAAATTAATTGGAAACAAATTATAGCTCCGTTGGTTTTTATTGTATTCTCTTATACTCTAGGATATGATTTTTATACCCTTGCAGAGGGTATTATGATTTCAGTCAGAAGTTTGCAACGCAGTGAAGGAGACATTTCCGACCCCAAAAAGTATATATATTCTTGATCAGCATCACAAGACGAGTCGATCTAGCCATGTCCGTCTGTCCGTCTGTCCGTCCGTTTCTACGCAAACTAGTCTCTCAGTTTTAAAGCTATCGGGATGAAACTTTCGTAAAAGTCGTATTTCTATTGCAGGTAGTATATATGTCGGAACCAACCGGATCGGACAACTATATCTTATAGCTCCCATAGGAAGGATCAAAAAAAAAAACGAAAAAAAATTCTAGCTCCGTTGTTTTTTGAAATTTTACCTTCTACTCTTGGGAATATTTTTTTTTATATATTTCTGAATTTCGGTTTTTTTGTTTTTTAAATCGGATCACTATATCATATAGCTGCCATAGGAACGGTCGAAAAATTAAATGGAAATTAATGGGAAAAAAATTATATCTTTGTTGGTTTTTATTACATTCCCTTCTACTCTGGGACATGACTATTTTGAAATATTTCCGAATTTCGATTTTAATTTTTAAAAGATCGAACTACTATATCATATAGCTGTGATAGAAACGATCGAAAAAAAATTAATGTGAAATAATAACAAACAACAGCAAAAATGTTAAATTTTTGCGATTTGTAAATTAATAGAATGATCTGCAAGGGTATATAAGCTTCGGCAAGCCGAAGCTAGCTTCCTTTCTTGTTTTTAATATTTCCGAGTTTGGAATTAAATTTAACAAAAATCGGACGACTATATTCTATAGCTGCAATAGGGAAGGATAGAAAAAATAATGTTAAAACAATACGAAATTTGAAATTTTTGCGATTTGTAAGTTAAAAGAAACGATCTATTACTGTGTTTATACGATGCCGAATTCACGCTATCATTTCACGCTTTCGGCCGATTCGTGCTTGTATAAACGCCATTTCGTGAATTCAGCAACACACGAAAGTTGACTATGATTTCAGCCTAAAAGCGTGATTTGGTGATAGGCAGATCTGGTAACTCTTCAAAAAATGATCGGCGTTGCCACATCGCTAGAAATTGAAGGCCCTTCATAGGCTATTTCTCTAGAAATGATCACCTATTTTTATCGGTCCGGCATCCCTATCAGCTGAGAGTGAATAAAAGCATGAATTCTCGGCTGTCGTATAAACAATGGTTATTTCTAGATCGCGCTTTTAAGAAATCGTGAATCTCATCGTATAAACATAGTATATGATTTCAGCCCAAAAGCGTGATTTGGTGATAAGTAATCTGGTAACTCTGTAAAAAATGATCAACGTTGCCAGATTGCTAGAAATTGAAGGCCCTTTTATAGGCCATTTCTCTAATCAGTGGTATTAAGAATTAGATATTTTTACCGGTCCGGCATCCCTATCAGCTGAGAGTGAATAAAAGCATGAATTCTCGGCTGTCGTATAAACAGGGGTTATTTCTATTTCGCGCTTTCAAGAAATCGTGATTGCTATCGTATAAACATAGTATATAAGGGTATATAAGCTTCGGCTGGCCGAAGCTAGCTTTCTTTCTTGTTTAATTTCAGTTAACTTGGATCACTTTTTTTTATTTGATTTTTCCTTAAGGAAAAACAACTTATTTAATATAAAATAAATAAATATAAAATAATTTAGAATCACCTAAATAATTAATTACTAAGGCTTAGTAATTTTATCACTCCCACTCACTTTTATTCTGTGCTTGCAACACTTGTTTTTCCTTACCAGTGATCAAGTGATCCAAGTTAACTCACTTAAACTCACTCACTTTATTTAAAAAAAATGGACTTGTTTGTCAATTCGAGTGTACTCATGCAGGACTCTAATCCTATATACATACATATATTTCCCTGATGACACGATATTGATTCGATTACTAACTGGCATTTTTCTCACCGCTATTAAAAGCACGATATAAATACATACATATGTACATACGTGCGATCACTTACTGTCATTTTCTCACCACTATTGAAAGCTCTAGCCATGTTATGAAATTTTAGGTATTCATAAGTGGATCCGCCTGTTCGGCTGCAATGACGCGTGCATATGTGGATTTGAAAATTAAGAAAACATAAAATTTGTCTACTTTACTTATTAGAAATATAAAATTTTCATTTGAAAAATAAATGAGCATTTGTCGAGTTCCTCCATTGCAAATATGACGGAATCTGGAATCGATTTGGGCTTCGATATGGAGTTCGATCTAAATATTAGCCTGTTAAATGATAACGAAAATATGGATTTCCTACCAAATGTTACTGTAGCAGGCAGTTCTGAGAATATGGAGTTCTATGAATTAAAGTCATCAACTCGCTGTTTACGGTCGGATGAAATGTAAGTAGCTTGTAATTGGTATACGTATGTATTTATATTGAAAACTAATGTATAATCTATGTATGTACGTTGTCAACGCGTAAGCGCATGTTAATTTATATCTTCATGATCGGTGTATCTATATATGTATTATATTGAAGTACATGTGAACATACATGCATGCATACATACATACATACATACATACGTACAATGTATCTGTACGTATGTAAGCTTGATATTTGAAGTATGATTAGCGCTGTTTTATAATCTTATCAGACAAACATATGGACATGTATGCATGTGTACGCATAGACATATGTACATACATATATGTATAATACCCAAAACACAAAATTCAGACATACAAATGTGTGTATGTATATGTACATACAAACTGAAAGTGTGAATGTATATACATACGTACATATGTACATAAGAATGTGAAATTTAATAGTTTGTCGTCTACGTTAAGTGAATAATATATGTGTACATACATATATATGTTTAAGAACAACTTGATTTAATACTAGAGATATATTTCTTACGAGATACATTATTTGCCTCTGATTAGAAAGCGTAAACAAATCACTATATTTTTATAAATGAAATTGATGGGCTATGGATACAAATGTACATATTTGCATTCATATGTGCATGCATAAAATAAAAAGAAAATAAAAAGTAAGCGTACATACATACATCGATGGCGGAAACATTGATGAAAATAAACAAAAGAAATCATCATAAACTTCTCTGGGATATGACTCTTTTTAAATATTTCCGAATTTCGATTTTAATTTTATCAAAATCGAACTACTATATCATATAGCTGCCATAGGAACGATCGGAAAATAAAGAGAAATAAGAGGAAATTTAACATTATTGCGATTTGTTAATTAATAGGAGTGATCTGCAAGGGTATATAAGCTTCGGCTGGCCGAAGCTAGCTTCCTCTCTTGTTAAAAATGCTGGCTGGGTTGCAGTTTATGATGATCATCAACATACACACATATGAATGTGCATGTGTATTTATGTATGTATGAATATGTTGCACTCTCATGAGTTCTTCTTTTGTTTATTTTCATCATTTATTTTGTTTAATTTATAATTTAAAAGCCGCCCAATAATACTAATTTAATTTATATATAACCTCTGCTCCTTTTCTTAGAGAGTCAGCTATAAGTAAATTAAAAATTGAGGAACCTTACATTTTCGGGATAATTTTTTGGTATTATTTTGCGAAAGCATGCGTACAACAGGCCCTCCTTTCACATTTGTCTGCTAGGTGCAAGATCAAGGTCTTTGTAATACTCTAAATAGTGGTCGACTGTAAAGAAATGTATTCTAACTGGAATAATATAATTATAAATCTATCTAACCCTATTAGAATTTATTTATGTACATTGTACGATTGTATATTATGAAATTTATATCTAAATATTCTTCTTATAAAACAAACTTGTATACATATTAGTTGTTTACTCTTATAAAAGCAGAGTACGTTCATGTGTACATATATAGAATGAATACAATATTGTAAGGTGGTTTTCTATTCTTAGAGGTAACTCTCGGTCAACTCATATTCTATAATGTTTTATACTTACAGTTATAGAAACAAACTAATATTTTTTTTATAACTCGTGTAAGAACTTTAGCAATAAATAAAGCCGCCCAATAATATTAATTTAATTTATATATAACCTCTGCTCATTTTCTTAGAGAGCCAGCTATAAGTAGATTGAAAATTGAGGAACCTTACATTTTTGGGATCATTTTTTGGTATTATTTTGCGAAAGCATGCGTACAACAGGCCCTCTATTCACATTTGTCTGCTAGGTCCAAGATCAAGGTCTTTGTAATACTCTAAATAGTTGTCGACTGTAAAAAATGTTTTCTTACTGGAGCAAAAAAAATATGACAAGCAATGTTGAAAGGAAAAAGACTGAGGAAGACATGTCTATATGTGAAAATATTTTACCAACAGAAGTAAAAATGGATAAGCATAAAATTGCTCAGCAAACCACAGATAAGCATGTCCTAGAGTTTCAAGACTTTCTGAGACGTGTTAAGACGTTACAGATGTCACATATTGAGCCAAACGAAAACCAAGACTTAATATTCCATCAGCCCAATCTGCCTAGTTTCACATCTATTGAAGTCGGGGAGGAACCGCCGACAATACCAGAAGCTGATAATATTGGTAAAGCAAATCCTTCATCAGTTCCGAGTTCAAATGAATGTGATTATATGCCTATGGCTACTACAAATATACGAGTAACAGTTGGTATCGATAAAGATTTAGAAATGATTCTTGAAATGGATCCGAGTATTGTAGATTTGGGTGATATTAGCATTGCCGAAGCTACAGAGCCGCGCATAGTGGGTTTACCTCCACTTTCGGGTGGGTAGGTATATTGACCTTTTATTGCGGTCATACACAATTTTTTTGGTTTTGTAAAATTCTTTAAAAATGAATATGTAATTTACAGACCAACATTCAAAACTGCCACACCCACGTCACGAACCCAACTGAAGCTTCAGTTACAACGGGAACAACATCAACAGCAACAACAGCAAATGATGATACAGCAACAGATTCTGGACTCGCCAGACCCAAAATTGCATCTATTGTTTGGCAGTGGACAGGGATCAATGGAATCGGAATTCATCGACAGCGGTAGCACCAGCGCTTGTGGCAGCGGGTCATCTAGTCTAGAACAAATGTCACAATTAGTGCAAATGGATAATTTAATTGAGTCGTCAAGTGCAGTTAAACTTAAAGTTCCTCTTCAAAGTATTGGTGTAGATGTGCCACCCCAAGTGCTGCAGGTAAAAAAATATTCTCCGGCTTAAAATATAGAACTTTACAAAAATAAATTTCAGGTCAGTACAGTGCTGGAAAACCCAACAAGATATCACGTTATTCAAAAGCAAAAGAATCAAGTGAGACAATATCTTAGTGAATCCTTTAAGCCATCTATATGGGGCTGTCATAACAGCGAAGTAAGTCGTTAGCCTTGTTTGAGTGAAATATAAAAATATATTAAGATATTTTTTTTTTAAAACGTAGATAAAAATGGCAAATAACTCTGCGTCGACAGGTAATCTTCAGAGTTCGTCTTTAGACAAAGGCCTTCAATTGGAGCGTACAAACAGTTACGGATGTGATACGGCTGTTAGTGCTAAAAGATCTATGCATTCTGAAGACTCAATGCCCAATTCCACATTTGGGAACAGTTTTTCAAGAAATGATAACTTAAATACCACTGAGCGTGTTAACCAAGTTTCTGGAGAGTCACCTATGGCACAAAAAACCAACCAGTTGGGATACGTTAAAACTAATTCAAGCCTTAGTTCCTCCACAACGCGCACTTCTTCAGGAATGGTTAATTCAATAAGGATTTCTAGTACAGCAAGTTCGTTGCAGTCTACTTCAGCACCTATTTCGCCGAGTTTAAGCTCGGTTGCAACAAGTGCGTCTGAGGTAAGTAAGAGTAGTATAAGTAAGTAAGTAGTATACATACGGGGCTCCCACATAAATCTTTTCGTTCGGGATTCGGGTAGAGTTCTTACCCCTAACCACGCCCCCAAAACGTTTTCTCCCTTGATAAAACCATCTTTCACAGAAATTTTTTTCCGACCAAAATCCGTTGAAAGAGATATCTATAAGAAAAGCTCTAGCAAGATACAAAAAGTTTTAAAAGAACGAAATTGTTAACAGAGGCTATAATAACACTAGTTTACAGTCAAAATACACCAAGAGGGATGATGATAGTTCCTGATAGAGTTAGACCTTGCCGACCTGTAGCTGACAATATATTTAGTGTATTCTATAAATTTATCAAAGCTAAAGGGTGACTTAAAAGTTTAATTAAAGACAACTATCACCTAAATTGATTTAGCGCAATACGAGATGTCATAAAGCCCGCTGGCGCTGTCACTTTTTTGTGGGCCTTATAACGCCCGCAGGGAAAATATATTTAATTACAAAATATATTGTAATATAACATCTAAAATGTTCATCAATGGATGCGATAAATTTAAATTAGTTACAAAGTCTTTTAGTGCTACTCTTTATTTTTCAAACTCCATACTCAAAATAATAATAAGATTTTTTTAAGGGAGAAAATATTAAAAGAAATCAAAGCCATACATGTTATGAAATATATTTTCCCTGCGGGCGTTATGACACTTGAGTGCGTCATAGCGCCCGCGGACGTTATGACATGTACATAACAGCATACAGGAGGGGTGAAAATAGTAATAGTGTTGCCTCTTAAAGGTCTGTTTTTGTAAATTATTTTCTCCTAGTAATATTTTTTTTATTATATTTTTACTAGTTTACAAATAGATTTAGAAAGAATGGAAGGGTCCTTCTAAAGCGCAGGAGGCAAACATTTTTTGCTTGCGCTGTATTGAAACACTTGTATATGATTTTCAACTATCTGTCTGCAGTACGGGCAGAGCAATTAACGCAGTTTTAAAATTTTTAAACATAAGAAGCGGTACTTCTCTTCTCGGCAATCTCATTGATTCTGAATGCGCTGTTTTAAGTTACGGGCGTTATTACACTTTTAAAAGTGACTTAACGCCAGCGGGCATAATGAGACTTTTTGAAAGTGCGTTATAACACTCGCAAGTGTCATAAGTCCCACGGGCTTTATGACACACACCTACGGGCGTTATGTCACGCACCCAATGCTGTGTATAAGAAAGTTAAAGGACATTCTATTACCTGTAAAATAAGTCTAAGATAACCAAAATGGGTTTACCAGAACAAAATACAGAAAATAAAAAAGGTCCAACAACGTTTTTTACATATTTAAAAAAAAATGGACACCATAAAAATAATTATAAGTGTCCATTTCTAGGTTGTCTTCAATTAAATTGCAGCCCATTTTTTTTTTTTTGTAAGCTAGTGCTATCTTTCCGATTGCATCAAAACAATTTTTAAAATTTGACCCTAAAACACAAACAATTATTTTACTTATAACTATAGCTTGAAAGAAGCTAAAGTTATTCGTACTGATTTTTGGTGGGATCCTCGTGGAGCATGACCTGCATTTATGCAAACCGAAATTGACCGTCTAAGGACATTTTTAATTATACTTTTTAAGGAATTTCTTCCCTAACACTTAGTATTTATACTCGTTACTCGTAGAGTAAAAGGGTATATTGTATTGGTGCAAAAGTATGTAACAGACAGAAGGAAGCTTTTCCGACCATATAAAGTATATATATTCTTGATCAGGGTCACTAGCCGAGTCGATATAGCCATGTCCGTCTGTCTGTCCGTCCGTATGAACGCTGAGATCTCGGAAACTAACGCCCACAATCGCATTAAAGGACTTTTAAATGTGTCTGTCGCTCATTTATATTTTTAAAGATATAGGAAAATTAAAAATGCAATTTTAATTTGTTTAAAAATAACTTATACTATATAGAAGAAATCGGACCATTTATTAACAAGTTATGATCGTAAATTGAAACAGCCGCTAAATGGAGCCATCAAAAATTGAAACAGCCGCTAGATGACGCCAGTGGCTTTGATGACTGCATATCTTCATCTCCCTCGCTCTCCATTCAGCTGAGTAACGAGTATCTGATAGTCGAAGCTCTCGAGTATAGCGTTCTCTTAATTTTAATGTTCTTTGAAATTTTAATGTAATATAATAATTTTCATTCTCTTCACCTTCACCTTTTTTTAAGCAAATCTGTCATTAAATTTTTCAGTTTCTTTTATTTTTGTTAAAAATAATTTAATTGTTTGATAATATTTTGATAACTTGTCAATTATTATTTGCAGCTACCATCATTCGACAGCGATGTAAGTATATTAGGGGTCACTAAAATGCCATGTCATCTTAAGTAAATGCTTGATTGTGTTTATACTTGTTACTCGTTGAGTAAAAGGGTTTATTGTATTCGCGTAAAAGTATGTACAAGCCAGAAGGAAATATTTCCGACCCTATCAAGTATATATATTATTGATCAGGATTAGCCGTCGATATAGCCATGTCCGTCCGTATGAACGCTAGGATCTCGGAAACTACACTGAGAAAAAAATACCAAAATTGGTCATCAAAATTGGTATTTTTCCATATCAATTTCGGTCCCATTGTATTTTCGAACATATCAATGTGGTATTTTTCATAATAGATTGTTATCCGCACATATCAAATTTTGCTACAAAATTATGGGAATGATATTTTTTCATATCAAACGGATTTTCTTTCATATGAGATGGATATGGTTTTCATATCAGAGGGATACGGCTTTTTATCTCATTATGTAAATTTATTGATTTACATTTAATGTAGTACCAGAATGATATTTGTTCATATCAAAAGGATTTTCTTTCATATGAGATGGATATGGTTTTCATATCAGAGGGATACGGCTTTTCATCTCATTATGTAAATTTATTTGATTTTTTTAGCTTATTGTAATTAAATGAGTCCAAAACTTTAGTAAATTCAAATAAATGATTTATTTTACAAATATTGGAATAATTAACATGTATCGAGAACTTAGCTATAAAAGGTCGCTTATCACTCTGAATCCGCATTCCACAAGTATCCCGTTTTGATTAGCGCCAGAGAGTCCTTCTTCTTTAGATAACTTCCAGCTAATCGCGGGCAGTATACCTTGCCCAATTTGGCATCCTGGCCTGCCATTTGACAGAGGTTCCCGGGGGTCCGGCTCATTCGGTCAATGGCGTTTACAGAGCCCAAAGATCGCATTCCAGTTTCTAAAAAGTAAACAAATGCCAGTTAAAGAAACATCAAGTAAATTGAATTGAATTACACATACTAACCATTTGCAAAATATAATAAACAGCACACAATTTTTCACTTTGTAGTTTCGTAGTTTTTCGTAGCACACAATTTTTCACTTTGTACCCTGCAGGAAAAATGCGAACTAGTCTGAAAAACAACTAGTTAAATAACTAATATAAAGCAACCTGAATTTGTCTGAATGCATTTGGACTACACAGGGTCTAGAAAATTTGTGCTAGTCGAAAAAATGATTAATACAAAACTAGTAAAAAACAAAAGAGAACGCTATAGTCGGGTTGGTGTCCCGACTATCTAATACCCGTCACTCAGCTAAAGGGAGTGCGAACGCTGTGTCGGGTTGGTGTCCCGACTAATAATCGTAACTCAGCTAAAGGGAGTGCGAAGGAGATAGATATATGTTGACAATTTATAAAGCGTATAACTTTTTAATGAATGGTCCGATTTGAAAAATGTCTTCTACATTTCGATAGGTATAAATATACACAACAAAATTGCATTTATACTTCTCAGAAAGCTTTAAAGATGTGGGCGCAGGACCCATTTTAAAATCGTTAGTGGGCGATTGTGGGCGTTAGAGGGGGCGTGGCGCTCGGCTAAAATAAACTTGCGCTGCGTAGGAAGCCAAAGAATATGTGTGGGAAATCTCAACCTTCTAGCTTTTGTAGTTTCTGAGATCTCAGCGTTCATACAGACGGACAGACGGACAGACGGACAGACAGACAGACAGACAGACAGACAGACAGACAGACAGACAGACAGACAGACAGACAGACAGACAGACAGACAGACAGACAGACAGACAGACAGACAGACAGACAGACAGACAGACAGACAGACAGACAGACAGACAGACAGACAGACAGACAGACAGACAGACAGACAGACAGACAGACAGACAGACAGACAGACAGACAGACAGACAGACAGACAGACAGACAGACAGACAGACAGACAGACAGACAGACAGACAGACAGACAGACAGACAGACAGACAGACAGACAGACAGACAGACAGACAGACAGACAGACAGACAGACAGACAGACAGACAGACAGACAGACAGACAGACAGACAGACAGACAGACAGACAGACAGACAGACAGACAGACAGACAGACAGACAGACAGACAGACAGACAGACAGACAGACAGACAGACAGACAGACAGACAGACAGACAGACAGACAGACAGACAGACAGACAGACAGACAGACAGACAGACAGACAGACAGACAGACAGACAGACAGACAGACAGACAGACAGACAGACAGACAGACAGACAGACAGACAGACAGACAGACAGACAGACAGACAGACAGACAGACAGACAGACAGACAGACAGACAGACAGACAGACAGACAGACAGACAGACAGACAGACAGACAGACAGACAGACAGACAGACAGACAGACAGACAGACAGACAGACAGACAGACAGACAGACAGACAGACAGACAGACAGACAGACAGACAGACAGACAGACAGACAGACAGACAGACAGACAGACAGACAGACAGACAGACAGACAGACAGACAGACAGACAGACAGACAGACAGACAGACAGACAGACAGACAGACAGACAGACAGACAGACAGACAGACAGACAGACAGACAGACAGACAGACAGACAGACAGACAGACAGACAGACAGACAGACAGACAGACAGACAGACAGACAGACAGACAGACAGACAGACAGACAGACAGACAGACAGACAGACAGACAGACAGACAGACAGACAGACAGACAGACAGACAGACAGACAGACAGACAGACAGACAGACAGACAGACAGACAGACAGACAGACAGACAGACAGACAGACAGACAGACAGACAGACAGACAGACAGACAGACAGACAGACAGACAGACAGACAGACAGACAGACAGACAGACAGACAGACAGACAGACAGACAGACAGACAGACAGACAGACAGACAGACAGACAGACAGACAGACAGACAGACAGACAGACAGACAGACAGACAGACAGACAGACAGACAGACAGACAGACAGACAGACAGACAGACAGACAGACAGACAGACAGACAGACAGACAGACAGACAGACAGACAGACAGACAGACAGACAGACAGACAGACAGACAGACAGACAGACAGACAGACAGACAGACAGACAGACAGACAGACAGACAGACAGACAGACAGACAGACAGACAGACAGACAGACAGACAGACAGACAGACAGACAGACAGACAGACAGACAGACAGACAGACAGACAGACAGACAGACAGACAGACAGACAGACAGACAGACAGACAGACAGACAGACAGACAGACAGACAGACAGACAGACAGACAGACAGACAGACAGACAGACAGACAGACAGACAGACAGACAGACAGACAGACAGACAGACAGACAGACAGACAGACAGACAGACAGACAGACAGACAGACAGACAGACAGACAGACAGACAGACAGACAGACAGACAGACAGACAGACAGACAGACAGACAGACAGACAGACAGACAGACAGACAGACAGACAGACAGACAGACAGACAGACAGACAGACAGACAGACAGACAGACAGACAGACAGACAGACGGACAGCTTGAACTAGTTAACCTTCTTGACCCAACTAGTATTTTAATAGTCCAAAACTGATTCCGTTTCCTGCAGGGTAGTTTCACGTTTTTCGTAGAATGTCAGTGTAACCGCGGCGAATCACACAAGAAATGCATTTAATACCATAAGATATACCATAAGTACTCACAGATTGAGAATTCTCAGCCACACTACTTTATCGAAAACTTTTCGATGTCCCATTTGATATGAAAAACATATTAATCTTTCAAGTATTCAAATTAATATATTATTTTATTAATATTTTAATTGTTATGATTTGGTATTACTTTTTATACCCTTGTAGAGGGTATTATAATTTCAGTCAGATGTTTGCAACGCAGTGAAGGAGACGTTTCCGACCACATAAAGTATATATATTCTTGATCAGCACCAATAGCCGAGTCTATCTAGCCATGTCCGTCTGTCCGTTTCTATGCGAACTAGTCTCTCAGTTTTAAAGCTATCGCGATGAAACTTTCCCGAAAGTCTTCTTTCTATTGCAGGTAGTACATATGTCGGAGCGAGCCGGATCGGACCACTATATCTTAAGGCTCCCATAGGAATATTCAAACATATATAAGAAAATTATTGTTAATTTGTAGGAAGTAGGCGTTTTAATTCTTGACTACTTAAAAACAAAATTCAAAAATAGGAACACTGAATCTGGAATCCCTAGAACTGCACCGAGTGAGTATTACTTTATCTGCAAGGGTATATAAGCTTCGGCTGGCCGAAGGTAGCTTCCTTTCTTGTTTTACTTTATTTCGTATTACTTTTATACGGAAAAATTGATATGTACAAATTAAGGAGACAATATCAATCGAGTATTGTTCCGTTTTTTTTGTGTGCAAAAGCTAGAAAGTTGGGATTACCCACACAAATTTTCAATTCGGACCATTCGTTTAAAAGTTATGCCCGATCAACGTCTTATATCTCCATCTCCCTCGCACTCCCTTCAGCTGAGTAACGGGTATCTGATGGTCGGGGCATCCGACTATAGCGTTCTCTCTTGTTAACTTTTATTTGAAACTAAATATTATTTTCGTTTCAGCCAGATGACCTTTTTGATGATATTTTACAAAATGACTCGTTTAACTTTGATAAAAATTTCAACTCTGAGCTTTCAATTAAACAGGAGCCTCAAAATTTAACTGACGCTGAAATGAATGCCATGGCAAAAGACAGACAAAAGAAGGATAACCACAATATGAGTAAATATAACATTTAACGATATTTATTTAGAAATTATTATATAATTATATTGCATTTATTTTAGTCGAGAGAAGACGCCGTTTCAATATTAATGACAGAATCAAAGAGCTTGGTACACTTTTGCCAAAGGGCAGTGATGCATTTTACGAAGTTGTTCGTGATATTCGTCCAAACAAAGGAACAATCTTAAAGTCGTCTGTTGACTACATTAAATGCTTGAAGCACGAGGTGACCCGCTTGAGACAAAATGAGTGTCGTCAACGTCAAGTGGAGTTGCAAAATCGAAAACTCATGTCTCGGATAAGGGTATAATAAACCTTCAGTAGTAGGTATTGTTACTTAACATTTTCCTTTTTTAGGAGTTGGAACTACAGGCAAAGTCTCACGGAATTTCTTTATCAGAATACCACTTAACCTCAGTATCGGCGCCTACCCAACCTAACGCATATCTTAAAAGTTCAAGTCTTTCGCCTTCGGTTTCTCGAAGTCGTCGATCACTTTTTGACCTCCCAGTGGAAAAAAAAGTAAGCTATAAGATATAAAAATGTATTTTCTACCAATTATAAAAATAAACGTATTTATAAAAATACAGGTGATGAACAGTCCTGATGTAAATATGGCAATGAATCAGATAGATGAACTCATGGAGGATTGCAAGCACCCAGTACAAGGCGGCGACCCGATGTTGTCTTCGCATAGCCACATGCCTACCGCTTCAGAATCACTATCTCCAAAGCAATTAAATTGTGCAAGTTTTGAACCAAAGATTGTCTTGGAGGCTGATCCAGGCCTTTTTAGAGGCAAGTCAAATTTAGTAGCAGATGACTGTTGCAGTATAAATTGCGGTACTTCATGCTATATTCAGCACCAGTCAACACACGAGGGTCACCGAAATCATTGCCAACACCCTAGTTTAAGGGGAATTCATAGTTTATCCGATTCAGTCCAAAACTCTGAGTTTAGTAGACTTGAACATTGCGATGATCCAATTTTGTCATCTTCCCATAGGTCTCTTGGCACAGTAGACGAAGATCAACATAGTTCTGTTGATATGTCTGCGGTCATGATAAACGACTCACTTTCCTCTTTGGTAGATGACAACCACAGTGAGCCCATGCTTCTCACCCCTGACACCTTAGATATTGATTTGTAAACTAACAAAATTTAAAATTTATGTAGGAACGCTCTTAGTATTTTTGTTACATATTGTAGGAGTATCTTGCAAACGTAAGTTCTGAAGGATACATACGATTCAATCAAGTGTCTTAAAGTTTTAAAATACTATAGACTCTGAGGATGTTTTAAGATAAAACGCTCAATAATATAATTAGACCGGTTATTTTTTGTTAGTTTAAATGTTATATGATGGAAACTTAAACTTTAATGTAATCTATAACCGGTATAACCGCTAAAAATATATTATGTTTGTTACTTAAGTTTAAAAAATAGGAAACTTGTGGACTGTAAAGATACAAACAATACATAAATACTTAATTCCAAAAAGGTATATAGACATAAACATAATATACCGATATGTAAAATCCAGTTTGTAAAATTGTTAAGTTTTTGGTTGTGCCTACACTGATCCGCGCGATAATTATTTTGCCATTTGAGTTTAAATTCAAGCTTAAGCTTGACGGAAACCCTACCACGATTTCTAAAGTGTGTATATATCAAAATAATACAAAAAAAACTATATCAAAATAATACAAAAAAACAAGGTTGTCATTTATTAATACTTTTATTTTTTCTTTTTCAAAAACAAAAAATAAGTTGTTTTAGTTATGATTAGTTGCATTCATCCTCTTCTATTAAAAAGCCACTTCGATTAAACTGTTGTGATAAATATTTGTATTAGCATTGACAAATGTGTTACGTATTAAAATAAGTGATAAGTTGCAAAAAAAATGTATTTTTTTTAATTTTTTCTCTTTGACATTTTTAAAAATGTATGTATGTACTACCAAAATTTAAATAAAGTGACACGCCTTAATGTCGAAAATTTTCGGTTGCAGTACAGTCATCATCGCATTTTGGATTCCGAAACGCAACATGTAGCCTTTTACTAAAGTAGGGTTAAAACCTTGAAATCGTATGGGAAATCAGAGTTTTAAGCCTACTTTAAATTTAACAGGCGGACGAGAAAACGGCCCTTAATCAATTTTAACTTGTTTGGGAGACAGGGCGGTGAAAGTGAAAATTTAGAAAATTGGAGCTGTTGGGGCCGGTGTGAATAACTCTCGCAATATGCTTGTTGTATTCTTACTAAAAATGTGCTTAATATGAGGGGTCATATCGCAAAATCCGATGCTCCATTCAAAAGTTATACCAAAAACAAAATGTTCTTCCCAAAAAGAAATAATTTTTCCCTTTGTTTGTGGGCATCAAATCGTGGTTTTAGGATCTTGAACTAAATTTTACTGTGTTTATCATCAGGATATGAAAATCCATTGTTCTACAACTTTTGGAAAAACCCGCTAGAAAATTATCTAAATGCAATAGTTTAAAATGTATTATGTATGTATTAAAATTATTTTTTGGCTTTTTTCTCCAAAACGGCTCCAACGATTTCTTTTTAAATTTGATACTATATAGCTCCTAAGATTCCTCAACTTTTGATATATAACACTTTTTGTCATAAAAATGCGCGTTTGGATGTAATTCAGCCATGAAAAGTGCAATCCGTTTCAGTTTAGTTTGGAAAACACTGCATGCTTACTTGAATGCCCAAAAACCAATTAGATAGGAACAAATTCTTATTAGATATTTTTAAGGTATAAGGAAAATATATGTGCAAAGCAAAAACTTCTGATATACAACAAATACACCTCTTAACGAGGTAAAATAGAAGTGACGATTGCACCATCAACATACAAAAGTTCTGATATCACATTTTGTGACAAAAAATACTTGTAACTAATAACCTATATAAAATATTCTCATTCGGCACGCTGCAATAGAATATGCTTTTGAAGACGAAATTCTTCAATATTTTACACTCTATTTCTATTCTTTATTCACTTCTATCTTTTTGTTTTATTGAATATACACTACTGGTCAAAACAATAAGTACACACGTTACATCCTCACTTGCTAAGAGATATCTCTATAGTTATTGAGGCCAGACCTCGCAAACCTTTTTATTTTGAAAGGTTATTCTGTCCTGCAATATTTTAATAAACAATGGATACAGTAAAACCTGTATTCCATGTTAGCCATACATTTGTGCGAAAGGTCGGTTTTGGTGTGGTCAAAATAATAAGTAAACTTGTGTAACTTATAATTTTTTAAAATATTAAAACTAGAATGGGGCTACGGTTAGTATTTTATCTTAAGTAAGCATCATGTTTATAAGAAGTCTGGGCCAATTTGACGATTCAAAAAGTTTCCAAGCCTGGATTTGGTTACTTCAAAGTCATTATCCATGATAAAATCTGATTTGCAGCTTAAAAGGAACTTTAACACTTAAGTATGTCTTGTAATTTCCTAAATTTTCTTTAAAAATACTACTCTTAATAAATAAAATCGATTTGGAAAAAATTTAGTACTTACACCGTAAAAAATGAGGTAAATTCTTGTGAAAAACCAAAGTTACATGCGGTTTTAATTTAAAAAAAATAGTTAAAACCTAAATTCTTAATTTTTTTATTTTTTCTTTGATAGTAGATAAAACGACTAAAAAAATGAGATATGTTTCGTATGACGTCAAAACAAGAAAGGAAGCTAGCTTCGGCCAGCCGAAGCTTATATACCCTTGCAGATCATTCATAGTAACTTGCAAATCGCAAATATTTTAACTTTCGTATTGTTTTGACATTAATTTTTCTATCCTTCCCTATGGCAGCTATATAATATAGTCATCCGACATTTGTTAAATTCCAAAATTCGAAATTCCGAAATATTAAAAAAAAATCATATCCAAGAGTAGAAGTAAAAATCAATGGAGCTATATTTTCTTTCCAATTAATTTCCCAAAATTCGAAAATATTTAAAAAGAGTTATATCCTAGAGTAGAAGAGAATACAATAAAAACCAAGGAAGCTAGAATTTATTTCCTATTACTTTTCCATTAATTTTCCGATCGTTCCTATGGCAGCTATATGATATAGCCGTCCGATTTTTTAAATATTTAATTCGAAATTCAGAAATATTTAAAAAAGAACATCTCCAAGAGTAGAACGTAATATATCAAAAAACACCGAAACTATAATTTTTTAACGATTTTTTTTCCGACCCTTTCCGATCCGGTCGGTTCTGACTTATATACTACCAAAGAGTATACATTATATAGAGAGGGCATAACTCTGACTTTCTGTTCAAACTGTTGTCGGCAAGGGGAAAAGGGGGAAAGGGCTTGTTCTATTTTTAGAATTCGTTTATTGAGTACACAATGCATAAGTGTAAGTGGGCTTTGTGTGTATGTGTGCGAGAACGTGGCAACACATTTTCGACAAAATTTCATTTTTGTAATTTTGATAATCGAGGGCCAACAACTTTTAAAAGTCGAATAGGGTTTTCTGTCAAATACTTTCAACTCGGTCTATGGTCGTGCTAGTTAAAGCGTTGATCAGCGATGTCGATGCGTGTTCGATCCCCGCAAAGGGCAGACGATTTCTAATATAGTTTTTTTTTTTATGTCTCGAAATATATATTTTTTATTTTATTTAAGCTAAAAAATAATTAATGAATAAAAAAAAGTTTAATTTTTAAAATAAGAAAAGAGTGTAACAGGACTAAAAAATCAAAACATTTTAGTTCGCGAAAATATTTTTTGAATATCTATCTATTTAGGTGTAGGGTCTTGCAAAAAAAAATAAAAATTTTTAATATAGTTTTTCTTGTAGATTAACATCTTAAGATTATACAAAAAAGTTTTAAGTCAATCAAAAACAACTTTGGAAGTTAGGATAAAAAAATAATTTTTGATTTTGAACGGCTTAATAAAATATTTAAAGTAAGAAAATAAAAAATAAAACTTCCCAGGGGGCGGGTTTTTTCTATTCTTTAATCGAAATGTAAAAGCAGAATGGAAAATCGTCAATTTTTGGCGGAGATACAGTGAACACCGCAAAACGTCTTTTTTTTAAGTGCTCTATACGTGTTTTACATGTGAAATGTTTTTCTCGAAAGCACGTTTTTTAAAGTCCGTGTTCATCGGCATTTCTAAACGGCTCAACCGATCGTTTTTAAATTTGTCGCATATTTTTTCTGCATAAAAAAAACCCGCCCTCAGGGAAGCGTTTTTTTTTTTAAACTTCGAAATTCTACAACGGGATTCGATCCCCGTACCGCTTAGATTGGTAGTCAGATGTCTTATCCACTGGGCCAAATGGCAAGCAGTGCTGGGGCCAACTAGATTCCAAGTAGAATCGAGCAGTGCGGGTTCTACTGTTAAAATGCGGGTTCCACCGCTAGAACCCGCCATACGACAGACTCCTTTGTATGACATGTCCTCTCTATATATTTATACTCTTTGATACTACCTGCAATAGAAAAAAGACTTTTCGGAAAGTTTCAAGCCGATAGCTTCAAAACTGGCAGACTAGTTTGCGTAGAAACGGACGGACAGACGGACATGGCTAGATCGACTCGTCTAGTGATGCTGATCAAGAATATATATACTTTATGGGGTCGGAAACGTCTCCTTCACTGCGTTGCAAACTTCTGACTGAAATCATAATACCCTCTGCAAGGGTATAAAAACCATGTAGTACCAGAAATTCTAAATGATAAGATTAAATAGCCCAGTCGAATTGCACCTGTCCCTCTGTCTCTTTTTGCATAAACTAATAAACATGTTTATTATCAATTTTTATAATAAAATTGGAGAATAAGACTTATTTTCAATTTTTAAAATAAAAATTGGAGAATAAGATATATTTTAAATTTTTATTATAAAAATTGGAGAATAAGACTTATTTTGCAATTTTTTTTATAAAAATCAATAAATAATTATTATTTTATAATTACAAATTTTCTTTACTCCACGAGTAACGGTTATAATTATACATATCTCTGTTGATTTTCTATGGGGTGAAGCTTTTCTTTAACATTTCAAAGTTTTATACTTTTGTAAGTTAAAAGGAATGATCTGCTAGGGTATATAAACTTCGGCTGGACGAAGTTAGTGTCTTGCTTTAAGTGTTCCAGCAATCGCTTTGTCATCGATATGTTAGCCGATGAATTAAATAAATCGAAAAGTTAGTTGATTTTTTGATGTCAAATGCTCTTTTGGCGACCTGTGTTAATTGATTGCGTTTTAGTCAGTAGAGAAAATGGATGTTGGAAAGAAATCCACCAAATAAAAATGAAACAGTGCCCCCCAATTTGGGAAGTTATTTCATATGAAATATGAGTCCTAATTCAAAAACATAAAATAACATCCCAAATTTGTGTTAAAATAAAATAAAATAACATCCCAAATTTGTGTTAGGTGTTTTTATTTGTGTAATTTACGTTTTTTTTAATTATTTAAAATTAAATTAAGACTTGCATAGTATTTTAAACAAGTTTTCTGCAATGAGGAAATACCTAAGAAGAAAAGGTAAAATGCTTTAAGAATGTTAAATTAATCAATCTTGGCGTGTGTCATAACACTGTCAACTTCTGTGAACTTTTAAAAAGCAAAGAGTCCATGCGGGGATCCATGACTCTTGATGGGGGATATACAACCCCCACTCGTGTAAAAAATTAAATAAATTTTGGTATTTAAAAAGTATGGAAAAAAAATTTTTCTGATATCACGCCCCACAACGCAATTCTGTATCCGCCACAGAAAGAGTCTATATGATTACCGATAAGTAAATATGAAATCCTCAATGTCAAAATTTGTCACAGGCCATCAACAGTTATAGCCGTTACTCGTAGAGTAAAAGGGTATATTGTATTCGTGCAAAAGTATGTAGCAGGGAGAAGGAAGCGTTTCCGACCATATAAGATATATGGGCAATTCTCTGCTGTCGCACGCGACGTTCGTACGCTTTGCAGGTGAAAACAACTATCTTCCGGTACTTCTTTTCTTTTGGCACTAGGCTCAAATTAAAAGTCTTGAATAGCACTAAAATGTGTGCTAGGGCTGACTTTGGGTCATTTTTCGTTTTCAAGGTATATAAAAAAACCAAGACTTTCGCACGCGACACCAATAGAAGTTACTTCCCTGCAGGAAACGGAATCAGTTTTGGACTATTAAAATACTAGTTGGGTCAAGAAGGTTAACTAGTTCAAGTTATGTCCATTTCCTTGTAACGAAGTGGTCCATTTTTCATATGCTTGTCGTCGGAAACAACTAGTCCATTTGCTACTAGTTTTGCACTAGTGACTGTTAAACAATTTATGGTTACAGCTGTTAAACTACACTAAAAAAAATATTTTCACGAGAAAGCGGATTTGCTTTTACGAACAGTTTATCTGGTCTTTAAGTTTTTCGAACAGATAGCTATCAGGGACTTTGACAGGGACTCGAGAAACCGGCCCTAAGTGATTGAATTTCACTAGTACTTGACGATGCCTAACTTGACACTTTCCTAATTTAGTATCCAATCAATAAGCGCGGTCCTTAGAGAATTTCTGATAACACTGTGCAGCATTTTTAGTGCTTTTTAAATTTACCTCGATGGATGCTATATTTTTGGATTCGTTACGAATTCCCAAGTTAAACTGCGTTTTCCAAAAAGTTCCCCGACGCAAGGATTCTTAGCAAAAGGACCTCAAAGTTCGAAAAATGCTGAAATTGGCCAACTTTGCGGAGCCCTCAGAGGCAAATGGATGCATGGTTTGATTCGATGTTAAAGTTTTTTAAAAGATACACCCTTTATCTTTTAAACCCCATACTTAAAAAATTTTTAAGATTTTTTTTAAGTCAGAAACAAATTCTAGAAAACATAGTCAAAAAACATAAAAGTATACAGCTGCGGTCAAAATGGTAGTAGTGTTGCCGCCCTGTGTATTTAAAAGTTTGTTGTTGTAATTGATCTTTTCCTGGTAATATTGTATAGATTATAATTTTACTATTAGACTAATTGGATAAGAAAAAATTACAACATCAAACTTTTAAAAACACAAGGCGGCAACACTGCTACTATTTTGACCGCAGCTGTATGTTTTTCAGTTTTTTAACTATGTTATGTTATGTGGTTTGTAAGAAAAAGGGTGTATTTTTTAAAAAACTTTAACTTCGAACCAAGCCATGCATCCATTTGCCTCTGAGAGCTCCGCAAAGTTGGTCAATTTCAGCATTTTTCGAACTTTGAGGACCTTTTGCTAAGAATCCTTGCGTCGGGGAACTCTTTGGAAAACGCAGTTTAACTTGGGAATTCGTAACGAATCCAAAAATATAGCATTCATCGAGGTTAATTTTTGATGCTGCATAGTGTAATTATTATGTAATCAAATACAGTAAATGATAATTAAATGGAATTAAAACCAACTTACTTTTTTTGAGGCAAGTCGCCCTCTCTAGGACTTGAACCCGGGACCTTTGGATTTGCACGCATCACTTTTTGTAATGCCCTAACAAGGTTTATGAATTTTAGTGTGACATAATTCAAAAACAGTGATTTTATATATTGCCTCAGACAGATTAAACAAAGTTTAAAATAAAACTAAAGCATCACCTAGCAAACAAAAAAAAGTGTACAGAGACTGGGGATTGAACCGAGGACCTCGAGTATTTGATTTGTTTATTGTTAAATTTCCCAAGACATTTACCCTCTAGGCTATATTTTTGGATCATATGTGCTTCATTTGCAACTAGTTAAATTCCAGTTGCCTTTTAACTAGACCCTAACATGTATTTGTTCTACCAGTTAAATATTTTTAAGGTTTTTTTTGTCAGAAAGGTACTAGTCCAAGACAAGTTTATTTATTACTAGTTTTGTATTAATCATTTTTTCGACTAGCACAAATTTTCGAGACCCTGTGTAGTCCAAATGCATTCAGACAAATTCCGGTTGCTTTGTATTAGTTATTTAACTAGTTGTTTTTCAGACTAGTTCGCATTTTTCCTGCAGTGTTTTTTGACTTCCTGCTCAACTTTCGATTGTAACGAAACGGAAAGGAATATTTTAATGCAGTTAATTTCATAGTGTTCCTTGATCTTTCTCCTTTAAAATGTATTTGGTTTGAATTTAAAATATTGCGTGGTTAATTTTTTATTGGTATCGAAGTGACTGTCACCCGCTACATGTCGCACGCGACAGTTTTTTCCGTCATTTTCTGCAACCTTAACGTCAAAAAAACCGTTTAAGAGCCACTTTAAAAAATACCAAAAAATGACTTTTTTGTCCATATAACAGGTATTGTCCTGGAAAATTATCCAAGGATACTTAAATTACTTAGCTTAGTTGAGGATCCATCTAACTAGTATCAAATATCAGTGCAAAATCATATAGAAATATGTTTTTTTCAAGTTTTACGCTTTTTGGCTTGGTTGACATCCCGAGAGAATTGCCCATATATTCTTGATCAGGGCCAATAGCTGAGTCGATCTATCCATGTCTGTCTGTCTGTTTGTCCGGATAAACGCAGAGATCTCGGAAACTACAAAAGCTAGAATTACCGACACACATTCTTGGGCTTCCTACGCAGCGCAAGTTCGTTTCAGCCGAGGGCCACGCTCTTTTAACACCCAAAACCGCCTTAAGCCAGTTTAAAAGGTGTTTGGCGCCCACACCTTTAATGATATCGGATTTTTCTTCCTCGAAAAACAAGCCGTGAGGAATAGCAGTGAATTTGCGATATCCTTAGTTAAACCAAAGAAGGTCCACACGTGTTCAAATTGAATGTCTTTATAACTTGCACAGGAAGTTGTGACAAAGTTAGAAAGGTTTGGCTGGCGACATGTTGTAAGTCGCGTCGAATTTTGCCAAACTCAATGTTTTTGTATCTTCTGGGAACCTACAAAATAAATAATATTTTATAAAGTTGCATAAGCACAATAATCAATACCTTTCGCAGGTATTACGAAAAGCTGATTAAATTTAACTGATGGCACTATTTTCTGCTCTTTGGGGACTTATTGCATATGAAATAGGTCCCTAATTTTTCCTCAACAATTTTTCCCAAAAAATGAAATAACTTCCCAAAATGACATCTAAAATCGTTGTTGTCCCCATACAAATTTTTGAGGACTTCTTTCCGAGAGCCACATCTGATTTACAGAATAAATAATATTCATTTTTACGTTCCCTGGTTTAAAGCAAAAGCTTCAGATATTAAACAAAAACAGCTCTAAACGAAGTAAAAATCGTCACGCCAATACCGTTAAGACATTTTACCTCGGAAAAAGGTGTTTTCGGTCGATTTTTTAACAAGCTGAATATTTTATGATGGCATGTCCAGCCCCAGACACAAGTTGCCTCCCAAAACTGCACTGTACAAAAATTGAAATTGAATTCCTCAATGGGACAACAAAATTTAAAACGAATTTATATACATGTACAAATTTATTTATGGTCTAGTTTTCAGCATAGGACAATACGAATTCTTATCTTACATTTAAAGAATATTTTTGAATTATTTTTTAGCCAATTCAGCTGAAAGCCAATCAAGTCCTTCATATAGTCCGTGACCCTGGGTAGCACAAGTAGCTTGAATAAACCACTGAAAAAAAATAAAAGTAAATACTAGTAAAAAAGAAATTTAAACTCATATATACGTGGCGATTCCGTAATTGGTTAAGGCGCAACTTGTCTGTTAGCTCGGCAGCTGTCATTGCGTTTGGTAGATCCTGTTTGTTAGCAAAAACCAACAGTACGGCATCTCTAAGCTCATCCTCTTGAAGCTGAAGCCGAGAACAAAATATGGTATTGGTAAACATATAAGTACACAAATTTGCCTATATTTAAACAATTACCATGTTCTGTAGTTCTTTTTCAGCTTCATTAATACGATCGCGATCGTTGGAATCCACCACAAAAATCAGCCCCTGCGTATTTTGGAAATAATGACGCCACAACGGACGAATTTTGTCTTGGCCACCAACATCCCAAACGGTGAAACATATATTTTTATACTCCACAGTTTCAACGTTGAAGCCGATGGTTGGTATGGTGGTTACAATTTCTCCCAACTTAAGTTTGTACAGTATAGTTGTTTTTCCCGCAGCATCCAAGCCAACTGTATATAAAGATATGTAAAGATTTGTGCACAATTTGCAAATACTACAGAACATATACGTGAATCATAAGCTAATATTTACATGACTGTTTTTGGATAAAGGCACCGAATAAAATCAGGCATCACTTTTTTTTTAACAACCTACCCATAAGAATACGCATTTGTTTTTTTCCAAATAGACGTGTTAGAAGGCTAGATATTGTTAGTCCCATTTTTTATATAGGAGTGCTATATTTTTTGTAGGCTTTTTTCGTTAAGTAAATTGACGTGTAAATCATTCGATTAGTGAGACTGCATTTAAAAAGAGAAAAAATGGTGTTAAAGAATGTATTATAAATAAAATACCAGAATCAAAAAATATAGTATTAAAATGGGCTTTTTTGAAACAATGGAACAGAGACACAAAACTGAAACTATCTAATGCCACTGAGCAATTCCCTGAGAAATAGTTGGAAGTTTTGACAAATCTAATAGCCTCTTCCCATAGAGTCCATCCGTTTGAAACGGTTGGGATTTTTGACGAATGTGAAACTCGTGTTCCCACAGAACTCTATCCACCATCTACCATCCAATAACAGCTGACTGAAGAGACTGCTCAGCTCAACATTAACGAAGGGGGATTTCAACTCGGGAAAACTGTCGTAAAATTGCGTTCTCCTAATTTTATTGTAGAATAATACAATAAATAGATTAAGAAAATAGTTTAAAAACATATCTGAACGTTTATAACATATCTTACAACGAGTATGCATACATATTATTGACAGGGGGGAGCCTAACCTCCAGTACCCCACACTCCGGTCTAACTACGCCTCTGTCTAGCCAATATTAATCTGGCACATTTGTAAACAAAACCAAATTTGTGCTGTTTTCGTAATTTTTAGGAGTACATAGTACCCTTTTAATTAGTATTAGTTATTATTTACGAAGTGCAGAACATATTCTGAGTCTCTGCTGCAAACATTGATGTTTTCGTACGCAGAACAGCTTACATTTTGGCCCACTCATAGCAACCTGTTTGCGAACGCTTTTCCGCTCATAACAAACTACAAATAATTCCAAAAAACCCAAAAAACAATGAGCTGAAGCAATATTTAATTGTTCTCGCAGTCATTGTTCCAATTTTCACAGTCAAGAGGAAGAATTCAAAGTTGCACCGAGAAAACATCGCCTAACTATCGCATAAAAGAGCCCGTCAAATTCCGTCAAAATTGGATGGCGGACTAACTGGGAAATTTTCGGAAAGCCAAAACCTTACGGACCATCCGTTCAGCGGATGGTGGAAGGTGGATGGAGCTATGTGGGAAGAACCTATAAAACTCCAACTTCTACAGACAACAGCTGACGTGAATAGCAGCTTCTTATTCGGTTATTTCGGTTATTCCACGATACAAAAGGATACAACTATATACGACTTTGAGTCCAAGTTTTCACTAGAGTTGAGCGAGCTATGGTGCTAACTCTATTTTTAATAAAGTTTGCATATTTACATGTTATATTCCTGCAAGCCGTTACCACTAAGTACTGAGTACAGTTTTCGTCGTACTGAGTACTAGGCTTTGCTTGGAAGACATTTTTATTTTTTAATATTCTAAACTTTAAATGTTTAAACCTAGTAGTCAGTACGACGAAAACTGCTAGCTAAGCATAGGAGTAAGCGAGAGGCAAATAGGTAGCTAAAGCCTTTACCTGGAACTTTTTTCCACCGCGGTACTCAGTTCAGCTAAGGATAACAGTAAGGAAATACCAAAAAATACTAGATTTAGCGGATGAATTCCGATGAACGCCTTTAGATAAAAGCCTAGTACTCAGTACGAAGAAAACTGCTAGCTAAGCATAGGAGTAAGCGAGAGGCAAATAGGTGGCTAAGGCCTTACGCTGGGACTTTTTTCCACCGCGGTACTCAGTTGAGCAAAGGAAACAGTAAGGAAATACCAAAAAATACTAGATTTAGCGGATGAATTCCGATGAACGCCTTTAGCCGCGGCCCAAAGAATAAAAAATTTGATCTTTGGCTGTGTTTGTGCGGTGTGCCAATAACAATTTATAAATGGAAACGAATATTTTTAAAGAAAACTAATTTTTAAATAGAGATACAAAGCGATTCCAAGGGAGTCCATCCATCAATCCTTTGCAAATTAAAGAGAAAGGAATTCTCTTCAAAATGAATGTAGTCAGAAAATACATTTTTTACGATTCTTGGAGAAATTTATTTTTTTAGATCATAACCTCAAATTTTGCAACTGCCCTTTTGTTTGCACTGTGGATAGAAGATATCTATAGACTTTAAGTTGAAATGTATACTAAAGTAAAGCAAAAACACTTACCGATACCATTGGACAACGGACTTTAGAGGTTGTAAAAAGAAAAATAAAGCTATAACTGTAGGAAAAAAATCAAATAAATGGCAAGTAAATTCTGACAAGTTTCAGTAAAGTGATAAAGTAAACTTGCGCTGTGTAGGAACCTGCTTGCTTAATGCCAATCCTCTATCTTTTATAGTTTCCGAGATCTCAGCATCCAAAATCAACTGCTTTATCAGAAAAATGAATAGCAATAGAATGACATTATAATTTTTTTTTGTTTTAATTGATCTTTTTGATTCTTGACAATTTAAAAACGAAAAACTACAATGGTACAAACCGCGGCTTGTAAAAGTTTACTTGCTTTCTTGTTTAATTAAAGATTAGTAAAAATTAAAATCTTTTGTTTAAGCAATATCTTTTAAGGGGGGTAGGGTCTATGGCATGAAAAAATCAAGTATCTTTGCGATTTTTTCTATAAAAACTGGTTGGATGGATTTAATTCAAACCAATTGTATATTATAAAGTGTCATTTAAATAACATCCACTAATTTTTATAGCCGATACTCTCGGCTAATAAATCGGTGGCAAAGCGATTGCTGGAACACTAATAAAAAAAAACGTTTTGCGGTGACCACTGTATCTCCTCCAAAAAAATTTCGGATTTCCATTCTGCTTTTACTTTACACAATTTTACAATTGTACAAACCACGGCTTGATTTACCTTTAAATCTAGAAATGTGTCTGTATTAAAGGTGATTTTACTAAAAACAAGATACAGCCAGTCACAAAAGTATTCGTTGCAAGGTATTTCACAAAGAAATTGAGTTTTCTTAACATTAACGTAACATATTTTATTAATTTATAATTTATAGTTTTATTAATTTTATCAGTTTCAACACATATTTAAGTTATATAAAATAAAAAATGAACCAAAAGTGGCTTCATTTCTGTATTAAACGATTAAAACCAAAAAATAATGCCTAACAAAAGTATTCGTTTGGCATGCCAATACTCCAAAGTATTTTAATATTTAAGTTTAATTTTAAGCTTAGAAAATATTAAAAAATTATTTTTTAATGTCTCTTTGGTCTAAAAGTGCATTTAGCAACCGACAAAATAAGGTAACGCTTATAAAAATCGGTTAACTTTCATGAAAAATGGACCATACTATAACCAAACAAATAACTACTTCGTCGAAAAGCATTATTTTCATACAAATTTCAATAGAAACGAAGCTTTCAGCTAAATAAGAAAGTTGTCAAATCCTTTTTTAGGTAGGTCTTAGATTACCCACACATATTCTTGAGCTTCCTACGCAGTGCAGGTTTGTTCCAGCCGAGGGCCACGCCCCCTCCAACGTCCAAAATCGCCTTAAACGATTTTAAAAAGTGTCTGGCGCCCACACTTTTAAAGATTTCGGAAAAGTAAAAATGCAGTTATATTGTGTTAACAATACCTATCGAAATGTAGAAGAAATTTTTCAAATCGGACCATTCGTTAAAATGTTTTATATCTCCACCTCCCTCGAACTCCCTTTTGCTGAGAAACGGGTATCTGATAGTCGGGGCACCCGACTATAGCGTTCTCTTGTTTTTTAACTTAAATGATTCAGTCGCTAGTTGTGATGTACATACATAAACCTTGAATATAAATTTATCAAGGCGCCTACGGAGGCATCAAAAGTCCATTAAGAGGCATTCTGTATTCCCAATAGAAAACCCCACAATAGATGGCAATGTATGTATACAATCTTGTATTATGGTTTTTATTTATATGAAATAAAATAAGTTTGCAACATTAAACAAAATTTCCTAACATTTTCAATAAGCTTTACTCAAATAACGGGTATACGCTTTTTGTAATTAAAATGCATAAATTTAATTTAATTTTAATTTTACTTTGTGAGATCTCTTTTGTCCATGTGCGATTTCAATACTAGAGCAATAGAAATCAGGGCCAAGACATATTTAGTTTATCACTTGTATGGCAGTGCGTTGTCAATTTATCAGATAACAACATGAAGTACTGCTTCTAATCTCTTACATGACGTATTGAATATTGTCAAAAATTAGCTACATATCATTAGACTGTACTTTTATCTTATTAGAATGAAGCGACAAATTTGTTTTTCCAATAATGTCAATAGATTTATCCATAGCGTACGTGCTTGCTAGGTTAACCAAGGACTCTTGTGCAATATCTATGGCCATTGAACCTGAATCAAACGCATAGCCAGAATCTGTCGCAGGTAAATTTGGTGTGGTCGAGGCTGAGTATTCTCCCAAAACATCTAAGTTTGTGACTTGTTCCAGTTGTGTCAATGAGTTTGCGGAGCTGTTTAACGAGCCAGAAAATTTTAATAGTCCTGAAAAATATTTAAAAGTTGGCAAGGGTTCAATATATAGAGTACAGTCTGATAATTTACGGTTATTTTCATTATTATTCATATGCGGTAAATATGATAGTGAAGACGGATAATATCTAGATGCCCCGACGTCCAGAGTGCTAAGACCGCTTATTCCGCCAGAGTCAGCCGAATGCGTTGAAGGTAAACGGGGTGACGCAACAGTAGTTTTTCTGAAGCTATCCACTAAAATATCCGTGTTCATCAAGGGTGCTTTTGTGGCACCAAGTGATCCCTCCGGAACGCATTTTGCAAGTTTGAAGTCCGTTTCTGTAACACCACCATGTTTAAGACGAAGACTGGAATGGCTGTTATCCCTTTTAATTGTTAAAGATATAGATGTCGCAGACGTTGACGCTGGTGTTACTTCGTTCGACAAGTTCTTATTTTGTCCTGAAAACAAAAGTTATAAAACAAACCCTAAATCTGTATATCTCTTTTACCTGTTACTGGGGATTGGTTCCCACTAACACCACTCACCCCACCACAGCCACTAGAGCTACTTGGTGGTCTTGGCAGGCGACGGCGAAGCCATGGATGTTTTAAAGCCTCGGAAGGCGTCAATCGTTTGTCTGCATCCCATTCTAAACAGCCACGTATAAAATTTAGAAAGAGTGGATCTTTGCATCCATCCAGCGCTTTAGATAGGCTCTTTGAACATGGTGGGCCACGGGGTTTACCTCGACGTGACTGTCCACCAATTAGGACCACCATTCCATCAGACATGGTTCGAACAGTACAATAGCGTGGATACCCTTTTGGGCTAAAAAACGATTTTGACCTCTTCGAACTGGCTAATATATTTTTATTTGGCATTCCCAAGACTTCAATAATGCAAGCCAACTGGTCGCTTTCATTTTCACCAGGAAACAATGCGTGTCCTGAGAGAAGCTCTGCTAGAATACAACCCAACGACCACATGTCGATAGCTCTGCCATATTTCGCCCCCAAAATTACTTCTGGAGCTCGATAAAAGCGTGACTGTATATATGTGTATATACGCTGATTCTCGAAACAGGATGACCCAAAGTCAATAACCTTTGAAAATAAAAAAACAAAAATGTATACATTTGATACTTTTCAAAAATATTAAAATGAGTTTGTATATATATTGTTGTAAACTATAAAACACAACTAAATCTTTGCAGTTGTGATAATCAGGATATTCCTTAAATTGTTGAATGGCTGAATTGTTGAAAATTCAACAGAAAATTTCAACAGTTAATGGTTCCAATGGTTCCTGTTGAATATTCAAACAGCTGTTATTTGTTGAAAAGTAATGTAAATGTAAAGTTTGATTTATTAGTGCTAGTTACTGTCTTAAATTGTTACCAAGGTAAAAAGAAAATATGCTTTCTAAGTTGACTTTGAAATAAATACTGGGTAGGGGAGAGTGGAGTAATCTCGTCAGCATTTTTTCTAAGCTATTTTTTGTCCATCTGGAGACACGTTATCATATTTCTATTTTTATTGTTGAATGCGGTTAGCACCAAGCTTTAAAATGTGACATTCCCCAATTTTTTGAATTACCTGGGTGATTTATAAAAAATTAAAAAGTAAAACCAATATACTGAGGCAATCTCGCCACATAGGGGGGTAAAATCGCCACACCATTGGGGCAATTTCGTCACCTGAAAAATGTAGGGAACTTTACGCCTGTAAGTATGCTACACTGATCAAGCGTACCATTTTTGTTGACGTCCTATATTTGTTGCTGCTGCCGGTAGTCTGTTCGTTAGCCAGCTCCTCAAATAAAAAGATATATATTTAAAATAGGTGCGAATTTACCCTAAGCATAGGGTGGCGAAATTTCCCCAGACAGTACTTTTTTAGAAATAATTATTTTTCTTCCGAAATTAGGCGCGAAGTTAAAAATCACTAACGCAGAAATGCACATTATAGCACTGTGTATTATATAAAAAATCGTGTATCTTATTCCTTTTGAATTGTGGCATACAGAAAAAATTTCGTCGAGAACTAAATGTAGCTTTTGAACTGTTAAAACACATTTAATATTATAGCTTAATTATCTTGGCCTTCTGTGCAAAAAAAAAAGCATTGGTTGTGCCATGCCATCTTGAGGGACTAAAACAAAAAAAATTATATATTTGTAAGACTTATGGATTCCGAGATATTGCAGGTGACGAAATTGCCCCTGTGACGAAATTACCCCACTCTCCCCTACTGGTGATTCTAAAATGGTACAGAGTTGCGAAGACTTTTTATAAAAAAAAATGTGACAACTCTGGTTTTCAACGATTCAACAAAATTTTAAACAGCCTCGAGGCTGTTGGATTGCTGAAATGTCTTCTTTGTATGGAACAGCTGATTAACAGCTGACCAAAGTTCAAAAATTCAGCAATTCAACAGTTTATGGAATACCCAGAATATTTATACCCTTGCATAGGGTATTATGATTTCAGTCAGAAGTTTGTAACGCAGTGGTCTCCTTCACTCCTTCACGTTTCCGACCCCATAAAGTATATATATTCTTAATCAGCATCACTAGACGAGTCGATCTAGCCATGTCCGTCTGTCCGTCTGTCTGTCCAACACACGGGTCGGTGTCCATGCCTGCCACCATTTTATTTCGATAAATGAGGCTTTTCTAAGCATAAGTTGCCACTACGCCTATAGTCCATCAGCTCTGGTATTTGCGGTATCTTTAATTTAAGAAAATCACAAATTTTCTTTTGGGATTCAAGAGTGGTCAACCAATTTTGGTAATCTTTTCGGAATTAAATAGTTACATGTCTCTTTTATTCGGTCGTTTTGAAAAATTCAATCCAACTCAACCACAAGAGGAGGTGGGCGCATTCAAAATTTTAAAGTCACAGCAAAGTTAAAAAATCTTCATTTGTGAACAGCGTTTAAAAATTAAATACAAATATTTTCTTCTACAATGCATTTTTGATCCAAAGACACCTTATGTCCTTAATTTTTAGGACACTCATCAGGTTTTTGTGAATTGTTTTGGAATTTTTAAAATTGTTTTTCTTCTTTCCTTCATAGTGACGATTCACAAACAGTGCCCAAACCTGTCACAATTTTAAATAACATATTTCTAAACGATCTAAGTAGTTATACCCGTTACTCGTAGAATAAAAGGGTATATTAGATTCGTGCAAAAGTATGTAACAGGTAGAAGGAAGCGTTTCCGACCCCATAAACTATATATATTCTTGATCAGGATCACTAGCCGAGTCGATCTAGACATGTCCGTCTGTGAGATTTTCCACACATATTCTTGGGCTTCCTACGCAGCGCAAGTTTATTTGAGCCGAGCGCCACGCCCCCTCTAACGCCAACAATCGCCCACTAACAAATTTAAAATGTGTCTGGCGCCCACACCTTTAAAGATTTCCGAGAAGTATAAATGCAATTTTGTTGTGTATAATTATACCTATCGAAATGACATTTTTCAAATCGGACCATTCAATAAAAAGTTATACGCAATCAAAAAAATGGTATATTTCCATCTCCCTCGCACTCCCTTTAGCCGAGTGACGGGTATTAGATAGTCGGGACAACAACCCGACTCTCTCTTGTTTTGCTTTGAATATAAGCACATGAGCGTAGCCTACTAATCTTTGGGGGCTGAAATGACTGAATTGTAATCCCCCTCCAGCTTTTACCCATGTATAAACATTTTTAAAGCAATGGTCACTTGTGCTCAAAAATAGTTATGCGTTACGTAAAATAGTGACAGGTTTGGGCACTGTTTGTGAATTGTCACTGTGAAGGAAGTAAGAAAAACAATTTTAAAAATTCCAAAACAATTCACAAAAACCTGATGAGTGACCTAAAAATTAAGGACATCTTTGGATCAAAAATGCATCGTAGAAGAAAATATTTTTATTTAATTTTTAAACGCTGTTCACAAATTAAGATTTTTAAATTTTGCTGTGACTTTAAAATTTTGAATGCGCCCACCTTCTCTTGTGGTTGAGTTAGATTGAATTTTCCAAAACGACCGAATAAAAGAGACATGTAACTATATAATTCCGAAAAGATTACCAAAATTGGTTGACCACTCTTGAAGATATATCCCAAAAGACGAAGAAAATTTGTGATTTTCTTAATTTAAAGATACCGCAAATACCAGAGCTGATGGACTATAGGCGTAGTGGCAACTTATGCTTAGAAAAGCCTAATTTATCGAAATAAAATGGTGGCGGGCCTGGACATCGACCCATGTCACATTTTGTCGGCCTGAGTTATATATATTGGTGTACATTAGGGTGGACTTTTTATACCCTTGTAGAGGGTATTATAATTTCAGTCAGATGTTTGCAACGCAGTGAAGGAGACGTTTCCGACCACATAAAGTATATATATTCTTGATCAGCACCAATAGCCGAGTCTATCTAGCTATGTCCGTCTGTCCGTCTGTCCATCTGTCCGTCTGTCCGTTTCTATGCGAACTAGTCTCTCAGTTTTAAAGCTATCGCGATGAAACTTTCCCGAAAGTCTTCTTTCTTTTGCAGGTAGTACATATGTCGGAGCGAGCCGGATCGGACCACTATATCTTAAGGCTCCCATAGGAATATGCAAACATATATAAGAAAATTCATTGTGACTTTGTAGGAAGTAGGCGTTTTAATTCTTGACTACTTAAAAACAAAATTCAAAAATAGAAACGCTGAATCTGGAATCCCTGGAACTGCACCGAGTGAGCAATACTGTATCTGCAAGGGTATATAAGCTTCGGCTGGCCGAAGGTAGCTTCCTTTTTGTTTATGTATGAAATTTTTAAGGCAATGCTCTCACGCCTTCATATATTGCCCTTTTGTATCCTTAGTCCATAAAAGAAAGAAAAAGTAAAAAAAATCGTTTTAGGCGGTGCGCAACAGCTTTAAAGTTTATTACGCATATTTCAGATTCATATAGATGCCTTAGACTTGATTTTATACTTTGTCAGTGCTTCAAAAAGTATCTAAATCACTTTCCCGAGCTATTTAACAAGGGATGAAGTCGTTAATAAAAGTTCCTGGGAGACAAATATAACTTAAAAATAATAGTCAGCATTTCTTTGACTATAACTTTTATTGACGAACGCTAATATAAAACGGAATCTCTATTTTAGTGAGATTCACTCGAAAAACAAGAAAGGAAGCTAGCTTCAGCCAGCCGAAGCTTATATACCCTTGCAGATCATTCCTATTAACTTACAAAAACATTAAATTTAGACCTATATAATACAGACGTCCGAATTTTTGTTAAATTTAATTCGAAATTTTGAAATGTTAAAGAAAAGCTATATCCCAGTGAAGAAAAGAATGTAATACGAATCAACATGTCATTTAAGCTTCCCGAAGAAATTTAAAGTATTTTGGAAGTTATGACAGATTAACGGCACCCGCTTAACGTGTGCAGTAGCCACATTTCATAACTTTAAATTAGTTTTACTAATTTAATATTTAAACTCACCTTTATACCAGAACGGCCCTGTTGTTTTAATAACACATTTTCTGGTTTCATATCGCAATGAATAATGTCATTTTTATAAAGCGCATCCAAACATTGAAGAAGAGAGTGAGCAAACTTTCGTACCAACTGCAAACTGAAGCCTTTAAATCCGTTTTTCTTAATTAATTCGTAAAGATTAATGCTGAGCAGCTCAAATGTAATGCAAGTATGATTGCGAAATGTAAAGTAGTCAAACATATGTATAATGTTCATAGTATTATATTTATCGTGGCGACGCAAATGATGAAGTATGCGAATTTCTTCTTGGGCCTGTCGATGAAACCGCTTTTCATTGCGTACTATTTTTAAGGCAACATGCTCGTGAGTCTTATGATCATACGCCTTAATCACCTGTCCAAAGCTGCCTTTTCCGATTATCTTTAGCATTTCATATCGATATGCTACGTGGTCATGCGGTACATGAATATAAGCACCTTGCTCATTATCGTAGTCAGAATTATTTGGGCCGTAGACTCCTGGGCGCTTCTTTGCATTGGCACCAATAAAATAAATCTGAGGATAAGTGAGTATTTCCGTACGTTCGTAGGGAGTCAGCTTATGCATGTACAAAATCATTACTTGTTGTGGGGAAACGACAAGAACTTTTGGTTTCTCCTGGAGCTCGCTTTTTTGTTGTCCAGACATTATAATTTGTTCGTGAAATGAGAAAGTATCTTCCATTACTGCAGTTTCTTTGAATAACACTAGCGATTCACATTCCGTTTCCGATTTTGATTTAGAACTGCCTGAAATAGCACCTAAATGTAAGCCGGGAACATCTGTCTTTTTTGAAAATGTCGTTACATTAGGCAGAGAAATTGCTAAAATATTTAACAAAATGTAATAAGAATATTTTAATTAATTTATTTGAAAATTTTCGGTTACCTTGAAAGGACTCGGAAAGTTCACATCCATCGGATGTGGGTAAATTTTTGTCATCTCCAGTAAATTTGGTAAACTTATTTGAAAGCTGCGGTTCTGATTCGTCTTTACTATCATGAAGCATTGCCGATGATCCATAACTACTACTGAAATATTGTAATCCACTGCCCCGACAAGGGTGATTACTTGAATTATGAGAATTAGTTTGTGTGATGCCAGTCTGAGTAGAATTTTGGTTAATCATCTGAATTTTTTGCTGAGGTAGGGATATGGGAGGCGAAAGTGCTTTTGAGATTTGTATGCTCTCCAAAGGGGTACTGTTCAAATTACTTTCACCGGTATATGTGCTAGTTTTGCTTGATGCCTGTGTTTTAGATAGTTCGATATGATTTTTTTTTTTCTGAGAGCCAACCATAGTGGGATGACTATGCTTATTTATTTTATTTATGTTTTAATTTTTAAAAATTAAAACCTTTTAATCAATATACATATAGTTTTACTCTTATTTTGGGTGGACTCAAAGTACTCGATTTATTGTATGTTATTGAACAAACTAGTTAAAGAGAATACTTTAATTTGTCTTTTTCCTTTTTGACGTAATTGGTACTGGAAACTTTAGTTTTTGGTTAAGTTTATTAGCCTTTGAATCTGACCCACAAGGGTATGTATGCATTAATATTCAGCGAAATATTATCTCGATGTGCTCTCTATAATTCAAATACGTTTGTAATACGTAATTATATTATAATTTCGGAATTCCTCGATGTAATAGTGTTTCAGACGAATCGATTTGTAGTTTGAATATTTGTCCTTTCAGGTGTATGTGTTATATTTTATCTTCGCCATACCGTCGCCCTTATTAAGCATTGACAGAATTTCATCTTCATGGACTTGCTATCCATCAAAATAAGTTTATATCCCAGCTAAAATTATATTTCTTAAGTTTTAAATGCAAAGGCGCTGACTTAAATGTGTGTCATATCATGCATTTATTTATATTTTTATTGTTTTTTATGGTAGCATTTTATTGCACTCGTTGCCGACGAAAATTTTATATTGGTGTTAGGGAGCTGTCGTCCATTACAAGTTTTGTTTGGGTTTTATATGTTTAAAACTGTATTTTCGTAGGCTAAAATAAACAAACCATATAATTACTAGTTGAGCATTAAGAAAATATTGTTTTTCTATGAAGATGCACATTATTACGAACAGTTGCAAAGCGTTAGCAAAACAAGAACTATGACAACTTAATACTTTGTAATTTCTTATGCATGTCACATATTAAAAATATCATAAAATCACTTTAGGAATATTGTCAACACTGAATTTTTATATATGAATGTACATGCATACATACACAAATTGCACACCGCTAAGCACATACTCCGAACAGTTAGATTAAAAATGAATTTAACATTGAACTTTAATTATTGTTCTGCATAAAGTGGTATTTCTCAGTTTTAAAATTTAATCATTTCAAAAATATACGTTGTACAATTATATTTGAATACACAATTTTTCAGAGCGAACAAAGAGTACCAGACCAGAATGTGACCGTGTCCTAACCGTGTATAATATACCATCCGGCTCACCTCCACCTCAAACTAGCATTGGTATCTAATACCCTCTTTCCATAGCGTCCATCTGTGTGAAGCGGCTGGGATTTTTGACAAATGTGAAATTCGTGTTCCCATAGAGTTTCCATCAATATCCACATCCCATAACAGCTGAACTGAAGATCAGTTGCTCATCTCAACATAAACGAAGCGGGGTTTCACTTTAGCAAAACTGTCGTAAAATTGCGTTCTCCTAATCTTATTAAAGAAGAAAACGATAAATAGCATAAGATAATAGTTAAAAAACATATCTTATCTTTTATAACACATCCTATAACGAGTATGCATACGCTGACTGGGGGAGAACCTAACCCCCCGTACCCCACTCTCCGCTCTTATTATGCCTCTATCTAGTCAATATTAATATGAAAAATTTGTAAACAAAACCAAATTTGTGCTGTTTTTGGTCATTTATAGCAACTTTGGAACTTTATAGGAGTACAAAGTAAACTTTTAATTAATAATAGTTATTATTTACAAAGTGCAGAACATATTCTGAGACTTTGCTGCGAACATTAATGTTTTCGTCGCACAACAGCTTACATTTTGGCCCACTCATAGCAAGCTGTTTGTGAACGCTTTTCCGCTCATAACAAACTACAAATAATTCAAAAAAACCCAAAAAACAATGAGCTGAAGCATTATTTAATTTTTTCCCGCTCGATTTGATTTGTTCTCGCAGTAATCGTTCCAATTTTGACAGTCAAGAGGAAGAATTCAGAGTTGCACCGAGAAAACATCGCCTAACTATCGCATAAAAGAGCCCGTCAAAGTCCGTCAAAATTGGATGACGGACTAACTGGAAAATTTTCGGAACGGCAAAACCTTACGGACCATCCGTTCAACGATTGGTGGATAGTGGATGGAGCTCTGTGGGAAGACCCTATAATAATATATTTCGCATAATATCTCTTTGACACATACGTTTAAAGAGTTGAAGTTAAAAAATGTTGTATTATGCACTGTGCGGAGATGTTGCAAAAGCTGCTGAATAGTGTAAAAAAATTAAACAAAGTAAAAACAAACAGAGGAAATCTTTAGAAATTTAACGTACATTTATGCAATGTATTGCTGTAGTTTTATTCTTTTATTGATTTAATTCTAGCTTAATTAATAATTTAATTTCTCTGATTTAATCGATTACGTTTTTATTAAGCCTATCATAAAAAAATATTTTTGTCAAATTCAGAGTGTCTCTCTGTCTGTATGAACGCTGAGATGTCGATAACTACAAAAGCCAGAAAGTCTAGTTTAAAAAAAAAATGCTAGCATAGCAGTAAGCGAGAGGCAAATATGTATTGATATTCAAAAAGTTTTGGTTGTTGCTAGCAAAAAAAAAAATGCAAGAAAGGTTGATATGTGTGGACCAGAATTTAGGCTGTTCTGCACCCGAAAACAAATTTTGGCTGACAAGTCTCAGAAAGTGTTTTACAAAACGTAATAATTAATACTCATTAAAATTATGGTATCTGCTTTTATATTCTAAATAATCTATAAATAATCGAAACAGTCAACAATTAGTTTTGCTCACCACATCTCAATGTTATTATGTGCTAGCCAAAGACAGGAAAAAAAATTTATTGCATATTCGCCGAGTTGAAATCCCCCTTCATTTGTGTTGAGATGAGCAACTCATCTTCAAGATAGCGATTATCGGAAGTGCTCTGGGGGAATCGAAGTTTCACATTACTATAAGAAAAGACTTACTTTTGTGAAAAATTCGACCTGTTTCCGACAGATGGACATTGTGGGAAAAGGGTATATATATATACTTCCGGAGTAGTATTTTTTTTAATTTTTAGTTAGATGTTAGTTACAGTGGCGGACAAAAGTCTACATACGACCCCCTTTTTGTGAGTTTTACCACTCCTTTAGCTTTTACAGAAAAAGTAATGATGCCATCTATTATTACTCAAAAACCAAAATTTCATTCTTATACAACAAAAACTTAAAGAGTTATAAACAAAAAACCTAAAAATGGCACTGACGATTTTTTACATAGAACTTTCGATATTTTTGCTTCAATATTTCCCAATCCTGGTCTATAATTCTTATGTACCGGCTTAGTGGTGGTGAAAATATTTGACAAGGAGTATAATTCAGCAGCCAATCCTTCACGATATGAGGCGTATGCCTAGGATAGTTATTCTGTTGGAAGGTCCAACTCGTTTTGAGGCATAATTTGTACCCAGATGTTTTCAAAATGTGTTCTAATATGGTCTTATACTGAGAAGACCAAATTTCCTACTCCCGAGGCTTCAATTTTTAATTTCAATTTTTACAAACTACGGTGAAAATGATCTCATCTGAAATTATATTGCTTATGCACCTTGACTTAAAAATATTAATAATATAGCATACATATTCGAAATATGAGAAGCTATAATAATTTAGACAAGAAACCCAAAATACCCTTGAAAATTACTTACCAAAACAACAACGCCTCGGCGACACTGTCGGCCTAGGGATGATTTTGTGATGAATTTTTACCTGTTCCTCACCATTTGTAGGCGCTTATTCACTGCTATTTCAGAAGCTTAATTTCGTAAAGAGAGCGATTGAGAAAAAGCGGGTTCGTGAGAGAGTCGATTCTGCCAAGGTTCTGCCGGCGTCGCAGTCGACTCATAGGGTCTTCCCACAGAGCTCCATCCACCATCTACCATCCGTTGAACGGATGGTCCGTAAGGTTTTGCCGTTCCGAAAATTTCCCAGTTAGTCCGCCATCCAATTTTGACGGACTTTGACGGGCTCTTTTATGCGATAGTTGGGCGATGTTTTCTCGGTGCAACTCTGAATTCTTCCTCTTGACTGTGAAAATTGGAACGATGACTGCGAGAACAAATCAAATCGAGCGGGAGAAAATGAAATAATGCTTCAGCTCATTGTTTTTTGGGTCTTTTTGAATTATTTGTAGTTTGTTATGAGCGGAAAAGCGTTCGCGAGCAGGTTGCTATGTGTGGGCCAAAAAGTGCGTACGAAAATATCAATGTTTGCAGCAAAGTGTCAAAATATGTTCTGCACTTCGTAAATATAACTAATACTAATTAAAAGGGTACTATGTACTCCTAAAAAGTTCCAAAGTTGCTATAAATTACCAAAACAGCACAAATTTGGTTTTTTTTACAAATGTGCCAGATTAATATTGGCTAGACAGAGGCGTAGTTAGACCGGAGTGTGGGGTACGAGAGGTTAGGCTCCCCCCTGTCAGCAATATGTATGCATACTCGTTGTAGGATATGTTATAAACGTTCAGATATGTTTTTAAACTATTTTCTTAATCTAATTATTATATTATTCTACAGTAAAATTAGGAGAGCGCAATTTTACAACAGTTTTCCCGAGTTGAAATCCCCCTTCGTTAATGTTGAGCTGAGCAACTGCTCTTCAGTCAGCTGTTATTGGATGGTAGATGGTGGATGGAGTTCTGTGGGAACACGAGTTTCACATTCGTCAAAAATCCCAACCGTTTCTAACGGATGGACTCTATGGAAAGAGGCTATCAGTGCTACTTTAGCGCTCGGTCTGAGTTCGGGAATTGCATGGTAGTCCATTAAACATTGGTTTCGTTCCGACATGTGCCATTTTCACATGTTTCAAAATTAAAAATAACCCATTGTCAGTGCTGCTTATACTATCGAAAATCGATAAGTACTCTCATAAGGGGTAGTAAAGATACCGTTGTAGACTTAACTATTTTTCAAGAGCAGAAAGCTAAGCGAATTTTTACATACGTTGATAATAAATAAATTGTCTGATAAGAGTAATAAATCAAAGTGTTTTTGCTAATACCCAAAACAAAGAAATTGATGTGTTTACTGATTATAACATGTTTTCCTATTGTCATTCACATAGTACATGGCTGCAACCCTATTCGCTCTGTTTAGTTATCGTGAATTTTACACATTTATAAGTCTGAACCTTTAGACTTCGTGGAAATAACGGTTTAGTTAAAACGAAATAATTGTGAACACAGGTGGTAAAAGTAAAAAATAACTTGAAGGTACTTGAATTACAACAATCAACATCTCTATAAAAATTTACAGATTTTCCACCCTCAGGTAGGTTTTAACAAATATTTTCATACATGTACACTAGGGTGGACTTCTTTAAGGTCAACTGAGCTCAGCATCTTAAATGGTAGGTTTCTGTGTCCAATAAATTTATGCGAAAACAGAAAAATTTTATTTCATCGTTTAGGCGGTGCGCAATGGCCTTAAAGTTTCGCTAAAAATTAAGTGTAAAACTAGGAATTTACCCCATTCCATTTCTTGTCAGATTTTAACATGTCAACTTTTTAATTTCGCTCGAATAAAAGAGTCAAGTAGAAATGTATTTCATGAATATTAACAGTTGGACGTAGCCTAGCCAGTAGAGCTTCTGTCTCCGAACAAAAAGGAGCGAGTTCGATCCCCGACTCACCATTTTTTTTTTTTTGCGACCCACAATGAAATAGAGATTCTATTTTACAATTTTAAAGATTAACTATCACTTTTGCGTTCGCCAATAAAAATTTTCGTCAAAGAAGAAAACTCTTATTTTTCAGAGTCCGTAATATTTATAAGTTGTACTCTAAAAGTCCTTGATTATTCGTTATTATTGTTATTTTTAAGTTGTAATTGCCTCCCAGGGACTCGAATTTTATCAACGACTTCATCCCTTGTCAAAAAGCTCGGGAAAGTGATTAAGATACTTTTTTAAATACTGTCAAAGTATAAAATTAAGTCTACGGCATCTAGATGAATCTGAAATATGCGTAATAAACTTTAAAGCCGTTGCGCACCGCCTAAAACTAATTATTTTTTACTTTTTCTTTCTTTAATGGATTAAGGATACAAAAAGGTTATATATGAAGGGGTGAGAGCATGGCCTTAGAAATTTCATACAAAATAAGTCCACCCTAATGTACACATGCATAAATACGTATGTATGTATGTATGTATAAAAGCTGTTGGTATGTTATAAAAACGTAAATGCTTGAATATTATACTCGAATTTAAACTTAAAAAATAATATGTGGGCAAATCGCCGCTGTCGTTCGCTTTAAAACTTGAAATAAACATCTTCCCAAGACATCTATTTTTTGACTAACGGCTTAAATTGTAGGCCTTGATTAGCAATAAACATTGTTAGCATTAGCAATTCTACGGTTGACTAAGAGCCATTGTTCGAGTTTAATAGCAATAGCGATTTTAGTGTATTCAAAAATTTCAAGCTTTGCGCTCTTGCCCCGAAAGATTAAGGAATATTTTAATCCACGTAATTTTATAATGATTCCCGTTCTTTCTTTTTAACAAAAGTATTTTGTTTTGTTCGTAATAATAAGTAGTTATACTCGGTGTTCGTAGAGCAAAGGGTATATTGTATTCATAAGAAAGTAGTTTCCAAAAAGTCCAATAAAGATGTATACAAATTATTTATTTTACCTAGTGCAACTAAGTTTTTATCAAATAAAAACACCACTCAACGAGGTAAAAAACTAGTGACGATCGCACCTTCAACGTACAAAAGTTTTAATATCAACTTTTGTGACGAAAAATGATTTTAGATGCGACTAAATAAGTACGCTACTTAAAATTTACTCGTTCGGCCCGCTTAAGCAAATATTTAATATTTACACGAAAGTTTACTGTTGTAGAGTGCCGAATGAATAAATTTTATAATGAATAATTTTACAGTTTTAAATAAAATCGTTAGAGCCGTTTTTGAGAAAAATAAAAAAAGCTTAAAAAAAGTTTTAAAAAATTGTCTTTTGTTTATATCTTTTTAACTATTACATTTACACAAAGTGCAAAGAGAAGGCGTTTATAGCATTTAAAAATACCTTTCAAACGAGATGCAGCACAAGTCTGTAGCTTTAGTAGTAAAGAAGTTATTATTATAGTATTCCAAATTTTAGCTATTTATAGCTGTTTTCCCGCTAAACTAGCGAGTTTTTCCAAAAGTGATAGAACAAAAATTTTTTATATCGATGTGATGAACGCCATATCAAATTTTCAAAAAATGATAAAATGTTTTGGACAAACTGACAAACAAAATTAAATTTTCATTTTGGGAAGACGAAGAAAATCTTATTTTGGCTATAACTTTTGAACGAAGCGTCCGATTTTATCATATGACTCGACGGGTATTTTCAATAGGAACACAACTAAAACAATACGAGGGGGCAATTATCCTCACCGGCCCCAACAGCTCCACATTTCGAAATTTGCACTTTTTCACTTTCACCGCTCTTTATCCCAAGCCAATTGATTTTCTTAAAGTCTTGGTATGCAATCCTTTAAGTTTTTGCAATACTTTTCGATTGCTGTATCACTCATTATGATCGGACCAAAGATATTATAAACACTAAGATGTGTAACGAGGAGCAAGAAACTGTACGGAGGCAGCGTAATTTTTGTCAAATGCGACTCACACGTATTCAGTCTATTTTTAGAATGCCGCCCAGCGGGAATGTGAGAAGTTGGTTTTTGTGTTCTTGAAATCCTGTTCCTTTTTGCAGGCGGCGGTGTGGGGTTAGATAATTTCTGAGCGATAAATGGGGGTGGGTTTTTGAGTAGCATCAATATCAGGCCACTTATGCGCTGTGTGATTTCTGTGGCACTATGATTATAATATTTTTTAACAAAAAAAATTACCAACTTATAATATTCAGAAATCCTATGATTTACACCAAAACCGAAAGACTTGTTCTCACATTTAGTTTTAATTGTTAGTAATTTTAAAATTCGTAGAAAAAATATTATTAATTTTTAATCAAATAAATTAATTTTAAAAATGATAATCAAAATGTCTATAATCATAATATTTATTGATGATTTTAATTTATTTTACTCAAAATGTTTACAAATAATAATAAGAATGAATGTGGGATTCAGCATTTTTCGAATTTTGAGGTCCTTTTGCTAAGAATCCTTGCGTCGGGGAACTCTTTGGAAAACGCAGTTTAACTTGGGAATTCGTAACGAATCAAAAAATATAGCATTCATCGAGGTTAATTTTTGATGCTGCATAGTGTTATTTATTGACCCGTCCATTTATTAAACTATAATTTAAAATTTTTTTATTTCTTATTTTTTCATATTATGTAATTTATTGAACATTTTTAAATATTTTTTTTAATTAAAAAAAATAAATTATTAAATTTTAATTTTTTTTTTTATTTTTTAAACAATTTTTTTTTTTAACAAGAAAGGAAGCTAGAGAGACTGAGAGACTACACTCATAGAAATTTTCCGGTAAAATCGCCCTAAAAACAAGGAAAATCGCCCTAAAACGGGGGTCAATGGCGACTAGGCAACAAAATTAGGGCAAATTGCCCTAAAAATACTGGTGAATTTGTCACACATTTAGGGCGATTTTTCGTAGATCTAGGGCGATTTTTCTATTTTCAAAGCTAATTGCCCTAAAAATAGGAAATGAGACCCTTACATCGCCGGAGGGAATTTTAGGTCTTTTAAGGTTTATTACAATAAGTACTGATTATCAAATTTTACTTCTAATTGAATGCATAGAAATAATATTTTTTTTTGGAATGAACAGATTGTTTCTTTAAAATAGTTACAGTTTTAAGGTTTTATAATCCTTCAAGAGTTCGGATAAAGCTTTACCTTTCTTATCAGACTCTAAATGAATTTCATAAAACATTTTTTGGATAAATGTCGTGGTTTAAAACAAAAAATATTTTGAAGCACACATCAATACTTTTCAATAAGGTTCGCATTCTATAAAAAAACCTCTGATAAGTAAACTGGAAATTCACCAAGGTCAAAAAGGGCTTGTTCCCACGTTGCAGCTAAATGGTTTCAGTTTCGGCTTTCCGGATTAGCAATTTTCCGACAATGCCTTTAGATGTGTTTGCAGTTCCCCAACAGTAGCCTTCCAAACCAAGAAACGGCTTCGCGTGTCCGCAATGGTGTGCTTCGCGTTCTTGCTCCCGCCGTCCTTCTTTGTCATTGCTGTCGCACCAACACTGAATGGATCGCAAGCCAAATTAAAGTTGATTGTATCTCTATTAAATAAAAACAGTCTATTTATTGAATGAGAAAAGAAAAAGAGAAAAAGCACATACCTTCAGCGTGGCTTTCCAAAGATTTGAGCAGTTTTATTCCCTTACTTTCGCTTTTAAAAAGTGCGAAAAGTGGTTTGCGGAAGCTGGATCTCAAAGACGTTCTCAATCTAAAACAAGAAAAAAAATTGTTAGAAATTAATATAAAAATGCACTACTAACAGTCAGAATTTTCATTTAGCCTACGATTGCGTTTGCTGCTACTTCTGGAAAAAAGAAGCAACAAAAGCAAATTTCGGTTACTGACGAAATGACGCAATAGAAATTTGGGGGTTATTTTGGCATATGCACTTGTGAATGCGGTTTGTCCGGTGCATAAATACAGATTTCTGGTAAATACCCACCGGGAAAATTCCTCTGGAAAATAACATATTTTCAAGAGGTTTTTCTATAGAAGCGGAAGGGACTAAACCTCATTCACCCCTTACATTTCTTCCATCTCTGGTTTCAAAATACACGGGGGTGACTCAAAAAGTAAGGGGGAAATGAGGTTTCTATCTGGATCTCTGGCAGAAGAATGCAGAACAAAATCCACTGGTTTTTCGACTTCCCGCATTATAGATTTTCCACACGTACCCAGTTATGGTTTTCCTCCACTTGCAATATCTGTTTTTCTACACCCTCCCAGTTTTGGTTTTTCCAGACCCTCGCAGTTTTGGTTTTGCACTGCTTTGCAGTATCTGATTTTCCACACTAAAAATCATGTTTTTTTGTAATATTTGTTTGTGTATTTATTATCGAAGCATTGGAACTACAAATTTTTAATGAAGCATTCCCGGGTTTTGCTTGGCCGAATGCAGTTCTTAGATATCCATTTCTTGTCTGTATTCTGAAAATATCAAAAATAATTTAGATATGAATGTAAGAACAGGAATAATAATAAGAATAATTACCATTATTAGGTCTCCGCACAAAATTAAAGGATCTCTCCAGAAATTATGACTGGTTTGCCATGGCCGATCATTTACCCTCTGTTCAGTTGTTATATGTCGG